TGCAAAAAAAAAAGAAACATTTCTAAAATGTTTGCATTTATACTGGTATGGATAAACACATACCTGGTAAAATATTTCTGGAAAAATTCCTGGTGAAGGAGTCAGTGTGCAGAACAGTGGTAGTTGAAAGGACCTGGAAAAAAAATAAACATGATATTAATGTTCACATTTATATTGATTATGGATAAAAACGTACTTCATAAAATATTTTCAGGGCGATCCCTGGCGAAAGAATCAGTGTGCAGAGCAGCAGTAGTTGAATGAACCTGAAAAAAAAAAAGAATCATTTTAGGAATGTTTGCATTTATGCTGGTATGGATAAACACATACCTGGTAAAAATGTTTCTGGAAAGATTCCTGGTGAAGTAGTGTGATTGCAGAGCAGCAGCAGTTGTAAGGACCTGAAAAATATTAACATATTTATTGTTTACATTTTTACTGATTATGGATGAAACGTACTTCATAAAATATTTCCAGAGCGATTCCTGGTGAAGTGAGTCAGTGTGCAGAGCAGTGGTAGTTGAAAGGACCTGGAAAAAAAACATGTTATCTATTGTTCACATTTATACTGATTATGGATAAAAACGTACTTCATAAAATATTTTCTGAGCAATTCCTGGTGAAGTGAGTAAGTGTGCAGTGCAGTGGTAGTTGAAGTGGACCTGAGAAAAGAAAAAATATTTTAGCAATGTTTACATTTATATTGGTTATGGATGAACACACACCTCATAAAATGTTCCTAGAGAGATTCCCAGTAAAGCAGTCGGAATGAATTTTCTTGCATTTTTGAAATGGCAGTTGAACTAGCATCTGGAATAAAAAAAAACATTAGAAATGTAAACGCTGATGTAGTATAGAGATTTCATAGAAGTGTTTATGCGTTACCAAACAATCCCTCTTTTCAATCTTCAATGAAAAAGATTTGATAAATAAAATAAAATAAAATAAAAAATTAAAACTATATAAAAATAATGATAAGCTAAATATTGATTATTAGACACTTACTTGAACTTACTTCTTAGTCCTCGCATTTATTCATAAGTCTTTAAAAAGAATCTGTGGTCATAAAAATGTCAATGTTTGCTAAATCTCTAATTTATTCATACTTTGAATGCTTTCCAAATATTCTAATCGTTGTATCATTCCAGTTTACCATGGTGTAATAATCACAGTGGCCGATTAAATTTGCCTAAAAACAAATCATAAGATTACGAATAGGTAGATCTAGTAAATAATTAATAAAGTATCATTGATCAATAAAATAAAATAAATGTAAACTGAATTTTCAGTCGATACTCAATCTGCTTGATATGATATGTTGTGGTTTTCATATTATTTCTTCTTGATGCCCAGAAATATAATGTAGAAATTTACTAGTGGTTTCATAATTGCACTTGCTCTTATATGAAATGCATGAACATGAATTGCAAAGGTGAAAATTAAAATGTAATGTAATACTTCAAAATCACATTGCATAAACTTAAGATTCAAATAACCGCATTATTTTAGTAGTTGAATAGATTAGTGTTTGTTAGTATTTGTTAGTATTATTAGATGGATGCAAATCATGCAAATGGTTATTTTGAATCATGAAAGCCAATGCAAATTTGTACAAGATGAAGCAAAAACTGAAAGTGTTAATCAATATCTTGGGTAAATTCACTGTTCAATAAATACATTCGGTACGACCAAATGCAATTCTAATAAAACCACAATTAGTGCATTACAGTGACATGTAAACTGGAAGACTCTGCACAAAATGCCACAAATTCAAACGTACCTGCACCTGTAAAATACAGAAGTTAGTATTAAATACTGATGAACATCTCATTAGATATATTATGAAATGATATTGATACGTCACCAAAGTTGTTTTCGTGAACAATGCAGTTGCTCCAGAGAAGCACAGAATAGTCTTTATCTGCATCTTCATTTTCAAATTGAAAGAACTATTCTGTGTCATTTCCTTCTAGTAAATGAATAAAATAGTGTATGAGCACAAATCTGTTCTTTAAAATTCATGATAACAATGATTGTGGCCCAATATACACAATTCTTGTAATCTATAAATTGAAGTGATTTAACACATAGTAATGATTTAAATAACACTTGAACTATATATACAACTCACACACTGATTAAGTCTCTCGATAAAAATGTTCATAAAGTAGCAATTCAGATTTACTTTCATTTCGTGTTTTCCTATTAAAGCAAAAACTTTGAAAAATAGTATTTGATAAACAATAGTAAATAAAAAAAAATTATTATTCCCGAAAATCTTACAACCGAGTCCAAAATATTCGCAAATCACAATCACTTTTCGAATATATTGCACAAGGTTCTTGGTTAGTCAACAAAATAGTTTTATTTAACAGTAGACATTATAAAATGGAATATATCCTGTGTGCATCTATAGCACTAATACAACTTGAGCAAACTAAATAAATTGTAGCACATGTTTGACGTACGACTCAATACTGTCGAACACGAAACGAAATCCGATTGAATCTGTAAAGCGAAATGTGTTTAGCACAAGTACAACATACCAAAATATCTTCCAGACAGCAATTGGTAAGGGGCCCTCTGTATTCCACGATGTTGCTTTGACCAATTCCGATGAGAAAATGAATTTATGCCATGATGACATCTCACAGCAGGCATAAACCATAGATGTGCAAAAAGAACTTGTAGATATGCGACTACAGAGCGTGCGAGTTCATTCGGTCGAGATTTGTTTGAATCTTTAATTTTAACGACAATAAAACCGTTATAATTTAAATAAAATAACATCTCTTCATATCTATATTGATGCTCGACTTTTTTCGATGAGAAGTGCAAACTTTCTCTTTTATGATTGAAAACATGCATAGAATGCACAAATAGCAAAACTGAATCAACATGTTTTCCCCATAACAAATTAAATAAGAACATAATCATAGATAAATAAGCATAATCTTCTACATATGCTTGCCATATTAATTTAAAATCTTTTATTCACATAACAGTTGTTGTTGAATAAACAAAAAGTGTACCTTATTAAAAAATTATATTGACTCAAATATAATAATATAAACAACATTTTCAGCATATATATGCATGCAAAATAATAATAATGCACTTGGAAGAGAATATTTCAAAATATATAGATGTTGCTTTTCAAATGATATCGAATAATTAAAGGAAAAGTTCTGGAAGCACCTTCCAATACATTTCTCCATACGGTTTCAATTTTATTTTTATTTGAATTCAAAATTAAGAAAAACTTAATGCATATACATATATCTATATATCTATATACATATATTTATATATATATATATATATATATATATATATATATATCTATATAAATATATATACAAATTTATATATGCATTACGAATTTAAAATTAAAAAAAATTTAATGCTTAAACATTATTTTTTCACTATTTTTAACAATCAGATTACAATATAATCTATAAGTTAAAAGTGTGTAAAATTTATAAGCAGACAAGAAATATTAAATAAAAATGCATTTTTATAGTTTCATCTCAATATGTATTCAAAATTTTTGTAACAAAAATAAATTACATTAATTTAAGTAATATTTTACAATTGGCATAATTATTATGGAAGAAGAACAATAAAAAGGAATGTAAGCAAAATAATCATAAAAATTATTATGCTGATTTCAAATAAAAATATTCTAAAGCAATTATGATGCCTTAACTTTATAAAATAATTTTATATATGAAGAACACATATATGCTGTTCAGCATATTGATCTTTTTAAATAAAAATTTATAAAACATTGTTACGTACAAAATAGTCTTACATAGCCATGCTTATGATAAACAAAGACTGCATAATTTATTTATCAACTAGCTAAGAATAGTATAGGTTTATAAAAATTGGTACCACATGCAAAACATTCAGACAGGAGGCAGGGGATAAACTCACGTGTGTTAGCTTTCTATACAAATGTATGATTAAAAAATAATTTTATCATATTACATATTGATTAAATACGTAATTTAAAGTACATCATGGTAAAGTACAATTTATTATAAATAATATTCACATATTTACATATCACTTATATCAATAAACATTGAGAATACCATTTTAAATTTTCAATGCAATGAACTTAAAATATTTGTTTGTATTCTAATGTTTTATCGATAAAGTTTTTTTAACTGGTATATTTTGTATCAATTGTCTGAAAACATTACAAATAATTTGTTTAGACATTTTATGTTAATGTTTTTTTAATTCATGCCATATTTTAAAATCGAATTTGAAGGGAAAACAAAAAATTAACATAAAAATATATTTTATAAACGTAAATTATTATTCACAGAACTTTAAAAATCAATATATGTTAATATGCGTCATACATTTATGATATTATAATTTTCAATTTACTTGGATCATGCAATTCAATGTCAACATAATATTACAAGCATAATATAGCGATATAATATAGCAAAAGCATATTTACAAATTAAACTTCTAAAATTTACTTGACAATCGAACCTATTTGATTCATTTAAATATCCAAACTTAGAACAATGATAAGTTTTAAATAAAAATGGCATACAATGTATAACATAAAATATTGGCCTAATACTAAGCTTTAACAAAGGCACTTCAAACATCATGATTCAATTGGAAGAAAAAGTATAATTTAAAAATGAGAAACGTCAGTTCAAGTTGTTACAATGATTATATATTTGTCATTATTATTATTATATTTTAAAATAACGATTATGACATGCTTTTATGGAAGCAATCAGCTTATATGCTTATGTGAACATATCACCAAGTAGTTATAACATGTGTTAATACACAATGCTTCCATGTGGGGCATATTGAATATTTTGAAAGAATTGTGTAATTAGTTGATTGTCATGCATAAAGAGTAATAGTTCAATTAATTTCAATTCATCAAACAATCAAGAATATCATCAGTTAGAATTTCATGTTATATTTTAAACAAGTATAAAAAAAAAGATTGTGGGTTTCATATATGCATGTGCAATACAATACATCTCTTCTAATACATCATGTTGCAATTTGATTCAATTCATCACAGATTTTTCATAAAATCTACATTTTACAAAATAGTTCATGTAATTTTATATTTAAATATAAAATGAAATATTGAAGACAATGTAAATATTATGAGGTTAAGTATTTACCTCGCAATATGCCAATGTTTTTAGCATAATAGGCCACTTTTCATCTGCAGATATTTAATATTACATATTGATGCATTTTGCATTATGGGCCAAATATTTATCAGTAATATTCGCCAAAAAGAGATTCAGATATCTTACCTCTTGAAAATTTTTAAAAAGTGATCCCACATACCAAAATGTACAAATATGTAAACAATCATTTAGTCTTAATATTCTCTCAGTATGATGTTAACTCTAGATTTTCAATCAAAATCATTTAATGATCAGCTTATGTCATTTGTTATTCAGTGATGAATTAGCAGGCAAAGTTGCTGATTTTTGAGCTAGATTCATGTATGGTTTAAGCGATGATCGTGTCGATTCTCTGAAATATATAAAAATTTAATGTTTATATGTAAATTTAAATTAAAGAAAATTTATATTATCTATTAACTCACTTTCACAAGTATAATCACAATATCTGAAGAAGGCAAAAGTTAATTAAATATATTAATCACAAAGCAAAGTAAATTATGAATAATCAATCCCAAGCCAAGGTTAACCCTTTCCATTCGGATGCCGCCGCTCCGACGACAAAATACATACAAATCTCGGAATGCGCGAGTGGAAATGATTAAAGTAATTAAAAATCAAGTAATTATTAAAAATTACTATATGAAATTATAAAAAGATAAAATGCAAAAACTATTGTTGTACAAGTACAGTATGACCAAATACACTCAAAGGAAACAAATACTATTATTTCAGCCAGAAGAAATAATCGGACAATTTTATGAATATAAAATGTTCAACATAAATACTGTAAGAATAGCATATAATTATTATTTTTGTTTAGTTCAATTGTATTCTGTTTCTTGCAAAAAAATCAAACAATTAAAAAAATTCTTTGAATTATTTACCACTATCAATATGAATAGAAGAAATCATATAAATTTTTCATTAATGATTAATTTATATCTTCTGTACAACTATTTTGAATTGCGAAAAGCAAAAAATTTCAATGATACTGATTTACTATCTCTGTAACAAATACAAAATATAACTTAAAATTGAACAAGAGCAAGTAAATTGCTTAAATATGGTAAACATAAAAAAAAAACAAATCATGATAAATAGACCAGAAAAAACTGCAATAAAATATAATAAGTATTATAATGTAATAGAAAATATTAATAAATAATGGCTATGCTCAAGGAAACTAGAATGATTCAAATAATTTAAATTATCCTCAAAAGCTACATAAAATTTTATCATAAAAACTGATTAAAAACGCTAATTGAAATCATAAAATAACAATATACATATATTAAAATATTAGAAATCAGCATTATTATAAGAGATCGAAGAAGGTTCTAAAAAATTAATTCTTTTTATGTTTTCTAAAGTAAATTAACAAAGTTCAGTGACTATAAAGGTAAGTATTATTACTCATGCTTTAGAATGCTGTAAATTAAGTACACTATAATATGATTGATCAAAACATATGATTGAGAAACTCGTTTATCCGGCCCTCTATCTACCACCCGCGACCAATTTATATGTATGTACATTCCTACAAGTTGAACTTATTCCAGCAATCAATTTCCAAATAATTTAAATCAAATTAAACTTATTACCTAATTATTTCATGATTACCAAAAACATATTGTAAACAAATTATTAGTACATATGTACCTAAATATGTTATTTCACGATTACTGCTGCAGTTTAGTATTATGTATGTTATTTAATCTAAGAAAATATGTATGTACATACATAAGTAAGACATAATTTCTTAATAAACAAGTACATATTTGTTATTTTTAATAAACACAACATTTTTCTTCATAAATTCTATTATCCAGATTTTAGATTATTCGAATGCCTATCAAAAACTAATCGAGTTTCTACTTTAATTAAAGTTTAAGCAGTACCAAAACAACTTTGACTGTGTTTTAACATCAATTGCTGTTGTTCTATTAATTATGGTAGTATATTGAATGTATAAAACTTACCTAGGTGAAATTTTAGAGCCATCCATTATAGTAGAATTGGCTTTATAACCACATTTTTCAATTTTCTTTGATAATCTCCCGACCCATCGCTTTTGATCATCCGGAGTAGGAGCTAATATTAATAAATCTCTGGCATGATTTGGATCATAATGTAATTTGCAAGGAGCTACAGTGTCTTCCTTCTTTTCTAAATGTTCCTTATGTATCTTTATTCTACATCCTAAATGAACATCATTACATTACATTATTAAACAAAATTTTATTATATTACACTACTCTATTATATTATTACGTTTGCATTCAAGAGCTGGAGGTGGCCTAAACATGTGCCACAGTGGTTTCGGACAAACTTCGCAAGTTGTCGGCATATGGAAACTGATTTGTAAAAACTCGTGCCCTTTTAGGTTCACTGTTCCCGGTTTGCTACTATGATGGTGGTGATCGTCCAGTATCGAAACGTCCATCACTGACTGATGATCTCCGCCTCCTGTGCCATCTGGTTTACGAGCTTCACCTTCACCAGCATAAAGAAGTTGAAAGATGCGTGGAATTTCTTTTGCATCAGCACGGATTACATCTCCTTGAGTTACAGAACGCACATGGAAGACTTTGCTGTAATAAAAAAAGATATATTACAAAGTAAATAGAAATAGCACTCAATATGTATCAGACAAACATAACATACCTTAAATCTAGTATCATTATTGGATCAGAATTCTGCTTGTCGTGTTCTGAATTGTAAAATATAATTTTCTTCGAAGACACAACAACATATTGCTTTTTCCAGCCATGCCTTCTAATATTTTGTTTATTTGGAACTGACAAACTTCCTTCCAAAATACTTTCTTGTGCGTTAAAATCTTCATTATCGTTATCAGCTGATGATAAAGAAGCAGTCTCACTGCTCAATGTATTAATTTTCAGCTGCAATTGTTCTATTTCAGAGTCTTTGGCGTCTACTTCCATTTGAACTCTAACTCTAGCCTGATTCTCTTCGACTAACTGTGCTTGTAGTTCTTGTAAATCTTTTTGGAATTTGGTAGCTAATTGACTATATTTTTCTCGTTCTTGGGTTAATTCTTGTTGGAGTTTGCGGCAATCCTTTTCTTTGCGACGCAAATCGGCCGATGATACTTTGCTCTTAACTTTACCTTAAGATATAGGATACATAATTAAGAAATTTTATATATATTTAATATATTCATAATTGAAAATAGAATGGTTTTAACAATTTTTATCTTGTTTTTATATAAGTTTGTGCTTGAATAAACAAATTTAACACAAAATTACACATGTTACCATTTATAAATAATAATATTACCTGTGGTATTAATATCTTTACGATTCATAATTTCAGCCAATTTATTGACAGCTTGCTGCTTCAGCAAGCTTTCAGTTTTCAGCTTGCTAGTCAACCGTTCAATATCAACTGTGTTACTAGTAATCTTACTAAGTTCCTCCTGAGCACTCTTGAGTTGCCTTGTAATTTCTTCTTTTTCTTTTGAGATTTGTTCTAAAAGTTTCTTCTGTTCATTTTCTCGTTCACGCAATGCACTTATTGAAATGTCTTTCTGGGAAAGTTCAGTACGATTTTTGTTTAATAATTCTTTTAGTTCTAATTCCTTCATAGTCTTTTCCTTTTCTAAATCAGCTATACTTTCATCAGCTATTGATCTGTGCCAATAGATAATTAACATAATTATTATAATAATTATTATTATTATTATATTCATATATATATATATATATATATATATATATATATATATATATAGATGTGTGTATATGTATATATATTTATATATGTCTTATCTAGCCTGTTAACTTCAAATGCAATTTTACCTCGCCAATGCCTCGGAATCAGCTCTAGCTAATGCAATTTGTAGCTGATGAACCAAACTTTCTCTTTCTTCTTCCATTTCTTGAATATGACGAGATTTTTCCTCAAGTTCTTCCTTAAGTTCATTAGAATGTGTTTTATAAAGAGTAGAGAAAACTTGCTCGGCTTCAACTTGTTCTTGAAGCTCTTTCATCTACATAAAATTATTTACATATCAAATATTTTGTATATCTTTTAGATAATATTTCTGTTTTAGCATCAATCTGCATTATGACTAATACAGATAACAAATCAAGGTGCATATTGTGTCACAATTAGATAACCATATCAAAGTGGGCTAGTAGAATAATGATAAAGCATTTATGATATTATTCTCATAATATATTCGCCAACTTAAAAACAAAATCGTTTATTTTTTTAAAATATAATGTTCAATTAATAATCAAAAAAATTTAATTGATTTGAATATTGAATATACATTTCACCTGAGCATTATCCACTGATCGAGCAGTTTTTAACTTGTGTAACTCTTCTTCAACATTTCTTTTAGCATCTCTAAGATGAGCAACTTCTCCAACTAGCTGAGCTTCCCTGGCTGTTAAATGTGCAGTCTGAGACCTTTGAACACCCAATTCGCTTTGTAATTGTGATTTTTTTAGTTGCTCTTGCTCAATCTGACTGTGGAGAGCTTTAACTTTTTCACTCTCTTGCCTATATTCTCCTTCTAGCTTTTGCAAACGCTGTTGGATTTGACGATAATCCACAGATAACATAGAAATTTGTCGTTCCTTTTCTTGAGAATTCTGATCAGATTTCTGTCGAGCAGATTTCTCTTCATTTAATTTTATTTGGAGTGCTATTATGAAAAAAAGAATAATATCAAATTTCAAAATAATATACAGACAATAATGGTGAATCCTATTATAGTAGGAGTAAGAATTTCAAAATTTATAGAGAAAAATTTACTAATTTAGAATATTTGTAAAAAGACAGTCAAATTTGGTGCATTAATTCATTCAGTGCGCATAATAATTCATATATGTTCTTTACTTGATATAAAAATATAATAATATACCTTTGAAAATTTTTTCTAATCGTCCTGATAAGCATTTGAAAAAAAATATTTTTATTATATATTAGTAAAACTTTGCAACTAATTTTAATAACAATGTAACTAATTTAATAAATAACGTTATTTGCAAACCTTTAACTTCCTCCATATTTGCTTCTTCTTTACTGACCAGTCTTGATTTTTCAGTTTCGCGATGTGCTTTGACCTCTTGCTCATATTTGTTTTGTGTTGCTTTCAATTCTAATTCTAGAGAAGCACATTCTTTCTCCAATGTTGATATCCTTTCCAATAGTTGTCTGTTGTCTTGGGTAACTTTGTCTTCACAATTTCTGACATGCTCCAGTTCAATATGGAGAGCCTGAAATAGTGGGTATTGAAAAAAAATTGCTTAAAAATAAAATAACTTGATAATATTTACCTGCAATTTTGCTTCTAGTTCTATCTGCATATCAGAAGCCTGTGATCTAGAGCTCCTCTCTTGAGAAAGTTTGCCTTGGAGAGATGCTACTTCTTGTTGTAAAGCATCTCTTTGTGTTTGTAAACCCTGCATAGTTTCCTGTAATTCATTATTCAGTTGTTCAGTAGCAGACTGAGCAACTCTAAGCTCAACAGCTTGCTTCTTTAATTTCTGATTGTGCTCTAATTCACCTTTCAATTTTTCTTGTAAATCATTAATTTGTTTTTCTAACATATTTATTTTGTCATTGTGCTGTTGATTATTATTCATTTCTCTAGTTCTTTTATTCTGCTCTTCGTCTAGTCTTTTCTTTGTTTCAACTAGTAAGGACTCAGTTTTACGCCGTAATTCATTCTCAAATTCTGCCTTACGTTGTAATTCTTTGCACGATAATTTGAATTTAGTCAATTCTTTCTCATAATCTCCAGCCTGATTCCTTAATTCACATTCTCTCTGACCTAGTTCATCTAATTTATTACTTAATAATTGGAGTTTTGTTTTCAAATTTTCACTGTTACCTTTCTCTTGTTCTAATAAATTTTGTAAATTTAACACATCGTCCTTACTTGAAACACAAATGTTGTTTAATTTTGTATCAACCATATCACTATTTCTAACACCTCCATTTGTTAATAATTGGTAATCACCATTATATGTGAATCCAACAAATGGCAGATGATTACCAGCAAAAGTTTTTGGTATAGGAAAATTCTCTTCAGGTGTTTCATCACGTTCAATATCATCAAAGTTCCTTGTATCATCATCACCACTCAGCTCTGGCACTACAGGTGGGGCAGAGTCTCTTAAATTGTCAAAAGTCCATTGATCATTTATGAAAAATGGATGTCGTTTAATTTCTTCCACTTCATTTCTGCCTAAACGCTGTGTTCTGTCTGTTAAAAATCCTTGTATCAAAGATCGGGCATATTGGCTTATTTCCACTTCTGGAGGAAAAGTTAATGAGTTTCTGTGATCCATAATTTTACTGTAAGTTCCAACCAAACTGTCTGCATAAAAAGGTGTTTCTCCAAATAACATTTCATACAAAAAAATTCCCACAGACCACCAATCGCATTCACGACCGTAAACTCCTTCACCACCTTGGGACTGCAAAACTTCGGGAGAAATGTAATCAGGCGTTCCAACAGCATTATTAGAACGTACCAAACCATCTGTATCCATTTTCATACAGGTTCCAAAGTCAGCTAACTTTAAATGACCATATTTGTCTAGAAGCATATTATCAGGTTTAACATCACGATGTACAAATCCCATGGAGTGAATTGTATCAAGTGCTAGCACCACTTCCATTGTATAGAACATTGCCCATTTTTCTGGAATTTCATAATCGGACATAAGACTCACCAAGTCACCCCCCGGCATATAATCCATGACCATATAAAGATATTTTTGATCTTGAAAAGCAAAATGTAATTGTACAATCCATTCTGATTTTGCATGAGCCATTATATGACGTTCTTCCCAAAAAAATGCAGAGTCTGGTCTCTTAATCATTTCAAATTTTGATAGGCGTTTCATAGCAAAAACCTAAAAAAAATCAATGTAATTATTATACTTATTTATACTGCAGATGTAATATGATAATATTTTATTAACAATATTGAATTCTTACTTGTGCAGTTGATTTGTGTCGCACTAACTGTACTTCACCAAATGCTCCTCGACCAATAACTTTTATTAAATTAAAATCATCTGGTTTCATTCGAAGATTAACTATTTCAGAAGCTATGATTTCATCTGTAAAATCAATATGTTTTTCAAAACAAATAAAAATAGCTGTCTCTAGGTTGATCAGTTGTGCATATTGAATATTGAGCATGCAATACTTTTTGTTTTCATATGAAATTTATTTCAATATGAAAAATAAATCATATCTCGGCATACAAAGGATCAAATTGATTTTAATTGAATTGGTGCATAAAATTAAAATCTAAAGTTTTATACCAATTAGTTTGTGCAACTCATTGTGATACCAATAAAAGTGTTATATTTACATCTGTTTGTATAAGCCTCGATGCTCTTCATCCGCTTAACAGAATCATGGTCACAATCAGCCACAAGCGCTGTAACTGTGTCCAGTAAAGAGTCAACATTAGCAATACTCCTTGAATCCAGAATCCTGTCCTCCAAGGCTTGGAGCCTTTTTCTCCTGTCCTCGTCGTGTAGCAGGTCCATTTTAATGATTTTAAAGCTATCACTTACTTTTATATATTAGCTTTTGGGTAAATTCATATCGGATTAATAGTGATTAATAAGAAAAATTTGGACTTTTTATTGAACTCTTATGCAAGAACTGCAAGTAACCTCTTAAAAAATGACAGCTAGACGGTAACATTTCTAAACAAATACAATGCCTTACTTTCAATTTTTAGATTAAGTGCTTTTGTGATAGTATCATTAAGAAATCGCTTTAGATATTAATAAAACCATATTTTAAAGGATAACTTTTTAAAAATTTGGAAAGTCATTAATTTTAGCTTATAACATGTATAAGCAAATCATGAGCTAAATACATTTTTTATGATAAAACATATTTATGAAGATTCACTAATTTATTAATGTTAAATAACACTTATTATTTTTATACAAAACCCACTCATATTAGACGAAAATAATAAAAAATCAGACAACAGATTTGGACATTATACCACAGTGCGACAAACCTGGCGATGACTCTACAAAACATATAGAAATTATTAATGAACTATTATTTCAGAACGTAATTATATTTTTCATTTATTATTAAAATGATTTACCAATGATTTTTATATAAAAACAAATGTCATATATTAATTATTGTTGATTTTATTAAAATATTATTTATTCTCTCAGTTTGAGAAACTCTGTTCATTAAAAAATTATAGCGCCTTTTTTAAATTCGTCTGAAATATTTAACACGTTGACTGCGTAAGTGTTTGAACCTATATCAGCCTTCTATACCGAAACTTTCGCTTAAAAATAGTTTTATTTAAACAGTATTATTTAAAAATAGTTTAATTTCAACTATTCAAATCCGTGGATATATTGAAAATTTCATAAAAAACTTACAATTAGTCAAAGCATCTGTGGTCCCGTGTATATCTTTAAATATTTCATAAAAATAAAACAGCAGAAACTTGGTCAAGGTGTACATATAATTGCTATGAAAAGTGGAGTAAATTAAATTTATTTTAATAAAAATGCATGTGTTAAATGGTCAATTTTTATATAATCTTAGAATAAACAAGAACACAATATAAAATAGTTGATGCATTACTTATTACCACAAATTAATTGTAGGTCATTATGTTGAATAATGCTGTTACATGTATATACTCTCTAAGCAAAAGTACATTTTTGCATATAATGCCAAAAGCAAAAAGAATTTCTGTTCTCAAAATATACCTTCTACTAGTGTATACATTTTATACAAACTAGATAAGAGTAAAAGTTATTTATTTTATTAACAGTGAATATTACAGTATATACTGAAATAAACTATATTATATCTTTTTTATGAAGACAATATGTATGAAGATGGGATAGAACTACAATATTGACAGATTTTCTAGTCCTAGACTTTATTATATCCATTTCTTCACTTGCGTTTGTTACCACCGCCTCCTGACAAAATGGTGACAATTCTGATAAAGATGTTAATTGTATCCATGTAAATAGATAAAGCTCTGCAAAAAAATTCAAATTTTATCTTTTCTTGTTATCTCCCGACTCAGAGTTTAATAATATTGAAACAATATGAATGAAAACATTTAATGTATCCATGTAGAGTTCTAAAGAGCTGAAAAAGATGATATGTTTCTCATCTAAAAAAACATAATGTAATGATAATGAACTCACGCATTAACAGGGTCATATTGTTGAGATGCATAAAGTGGCCAAGTTTCGGCTTTCTTAATTATTCTTTGTGTATCATACAGTAAGAAAGCACTGAATAGAAGGAGACCTCCATACAATGAAACCGAATACAATCCTATAATATTTTTCATTCGTTAAAAAAGAAAAATTATGGAGAATTATAATTATCTATTTATTTAAATTACCTGCACCAAGAGCAGTTGTTGGTGGTAGAAACATTGTAGCAACTGAAGATGCTAAAACTACACCTAATCCAATAGCAAGAGGTCCTCCAATATACAAAAATTTCTCAGATGGAGCACATACAGCAACAGTTGATAATCCACCTACAACACCTGCTGTATACCTAAAATTTTTATATAAATAAAATAAATATTGTAAAACTAAAACTATTTAGAATTTTATACAATTAAACTTACCAAGCAGCACGAGTTAACAAAGGGCCACCTAAAAGGCAAATAGGAGCTATTACAGCACCTACTACACCAGCATGAAGCATCCAAGCTAATTGCTTAGCACCAAACCCAGGTTGGTATGGTAAGCTTTGAGCTAAAGTCCCAGTTGCCATCATAGCCGCAATAGTGCCCAAAACAGCCTATTTATATATAAATAGAAATAAATAGTAAATGTAATAATAAATGAATACATATTCAATATAAAGTTATACATATTTGATATTATAATAAGTAAAGACTGTGTAGAAAGTATATCTGTTTCTTACCATCCATCCATTTCGGGCCACTAAATTCATTATAATAGGCGATCTAAAAGCAGCGGCTGCACTTGCAGCAGTTACAGCAATCGAGCCTCCAAAATATAAATAAGTGGTTTTAATACGATCTTTTACATACTTTGGCCACAAACTGAAAAAATTAATAATATTAAATTTAATTAAGCTCAAACATTTCATCCAGATTCTTACTGATGTTTGTCTATAGCCCCAGTTCCTGAAGAAAGACCCATACCATAAAAACATAGGGCTCCTAACCCGAGAGCCGCACCTCCAGCTACGGCACCTTTGCCTATACTGAAAGCTACAATACAAATATATTCAAGAATAATTTCCAAAAGTAACTAAATAATATAGTATCAAATTAAATAATCACAGCGTCTTCAATTATATGAAAAACAAATTGTCAAATGTCTATTCTCAGTCTAACTCAGTTTGTTACTGAGTAGCAAAACAATTAAATTAATTTCCTTTATCACAGGCTAGATACCTCCATCACCAGCTGGTGCTGATAAGCGCTCTCGTAGTGTTTCTGATTTTGTCTCTCGTAATGCTTCAGTCCTTCGACTAGATCTGGCCATGTTCCGAAAAACATGTTGCCTCTGGGGTACATTTTGGGCTGCCACACGGAATAACGATGTGGCTACCCTGGTATTTGCACAAAGTCTTGATAACATTTTGGTTTGCTTCTATAAATATGCTATTTTTTAATGACGCAATAATATGTAATAACAACTAATGGGGTGCTACAAACTTACTTATGAAACACCTACTTTAATTAATTTTCTTTAGTTTTAGTCTCATATTTTACTTACAATTTGTGTTGACAGAGAGAATCAGAATTTGTTTCGAGATGTTACGATTTGAAATAAAAACAAATCCCGCATTACAAATGAAACTGAAAAACATGAAATGACAGTTCTATGGACATTGCGAGAAATTTATCAATTGTACCAACAGCAAAAATATAATTTCCAGAACATTTGTTGCTTTAAAATCGCATTAAAATTTTTAATTATTAGGGGTCTAGGGTTTTAATAATTATTTAATTTTTGTACATATATTTCATTAATCAATAAATGTTATTACATACTATGAAAATGTTCATTTTTTATTTAAAGTTAAAAAAATGATTGTTTTTTTAGCCTGTAAGGTTTCTGATGCTTCAGATGTCTGCTGTGTATCTTAACCTCAAAGTTTGTTGTCAAAATACACCATACAACGATTTATTTTAGTAAATAAATTAATAAAAAATATGGAAATATTAATTGCAAACGTGGAACATATGAAATTTGATATAGAAACCGCATTAAATGTTCAGTATGGAGCCCTCCCACTGCCTTTTCCTGGCATGGACAGTAAGTTCAAAGTTGTAAGTCTAAATTTTAAATATATATAAATATTTCTGTTCTTCTAAGAATCCACAGCAGCGGTTTGTCAATTTTACAATGCTAAGCAAGGCCCTGAGTGTGACAAAGGATCATCGTGCCCTTTTCGACACATTCGTGGCGATAGAACAATTGTTTGTAAACATTGGCTTCGAGGCCTCTGCAAGAAAGGGGATCAATGTGAATTTCTTCATGAATATGACATGTCAAAAATGCCAGAGTGTTATTTCTACTCTAGATTTAACGCTTGTCACAATAAGGAATGTCCTTTCCTTCACATAGATCCTGAAAGTAAAATTAAAGATTGTCCCTGGTAAGTAAAATAATTAAAAGTAATTTAACATTCAAAGTATTTAACTCTTTTATACTACTTCTTGTAGGTACGATAGAGGTTTTTGTAGGCATGGACCTCACTGTCGACACAGACATGTACGAAGAGTATTATGTACAAACTATTTAGCTGGATTGTGTCCAGCTGGTCCGAACTGTAAACATATGCATCCAAGATTTGAATTACCTGCACCGCCAGAACCATCAAAAGATGTGAAGAGGCCACCTGTTTGCCATTTCTGTGGAGAACTTGGACATAAAGCTACATATTGCGCAAAAATTCCTGCTGAGGTAGTATGAAATTCTAATGACATAACAAAAAAGATTTGATAAAGATTACATTGTTAAGAGTGGTTCATTTACTCATTACAGCAACGTGAAGCAGCAATTCGACAAGAAGAAGCCAAGTTCCGTGCTTTAGGTTACTTTAAACCCCAAAGATCTAATGCAGCCGGTGATGTACAAACATCTGCTTCTAATGATGATGTCCAATTAATAAATAGAGGTCCTCCAAAACCATTAGAAGAAGTTACTTGCTATAAATGTGGAAGTAAGGGACACTATGCAAATAAATGCCCCAAAGGCCATTTGGCCTTTTTATCACATTCGCAAAGTAATCAAATTGCTCCAACAAATTCATTTCGGAGATAGGGCTAGCTATCATTTACTCAATATGATTAGATGTATGTTTAATTCAACATTAACTAGTTTCAATAAATTTTTATTTATTAGAAATGTTTTATTTATATTTTTATAAAGTGCAAGTGTAAGTGCAAGGGAGGGAGTCGCAGTACTGCGATTTAGCTTAACTTAAAGGCATGAGTCGTAACTAAAAAAAATAAACTAAGCAGTCATTTATGACGAAGTGTCATTTTAATGATAGTGTTATATATAGGTAATGATAGTGTTATTTTGTTAACACTATCATTATAAAAATAATTTGTTTAATACATGATCAATATTTTAATAACACAATTGAATAAAAATGCTATCTTGCAAAAAAAATTGTGCTGTTTTTTTTTTTAAAAAAGAAAATAAATAAATACATAAATATTTTTAAATATTTCTTGTGGCTTTAATAAACCCAACTAAAATACATATGTTTTTGTAATAATTTAGTTATTTCTCCATATTCTTCATTTTACCAGACAAACACAAGGATTTGGAAACGAATTTGCTAATTTTAATTGCATGATACTGAAAGAAGTGGTAACAAACTACTCAAATAAAACATGTAACAGTGATTGATAAAAATTACTCTTATTTACATTTCTTCTCAACTTTGTGGCAACAATAATGTATTACATTTTTGTAATAAAGTATTACTTAAGCTATGCTAATATGTAGTTTACTTTTAGTTATGTATGAAAAGGGTGCTTTATAATTTTATTTATATATTGATAAATATTATTTTAATTTCATATATCGATGTCCTTATATATTTATCTATAAACCATTATGCTTTTTTTTACTTACAATTAGTAAAAGCTGATGTAATAATATAATTGTTGTTTCACATAGTTTTGGTTGGTGGCATGGCATTTTGATAATATTCAATAGTAATTCACGAAGCAATTAAAATTACAATGAGCCAGTATGTTGACTTAAAATTGTTTAGGTCAAAAGTCTCAAAGCGTCCTTGTAAATTATAAACGCAAGTATTCAATGCAACATCTACAATCGATAAATTTTCCATCACAAACAATAACATTTTATATATTTAGGAAAGTATAATTAAACACTATAAGTTTTTGGTTTCCACTTATATACCATAATTGAACTGATAGTGATTGAACAAAAAAATAATACGAAATTTAACACAAATTACCATTATTTTCTCAGCTTAGAATGACTAACCAGCCAAATATTTAATAATTATTTGTGTTTTAATAATCATTCATTTTTTTACTCAACCCGTATTAATTTTTACACTAAATTAGTTGTGCTTGTGCTTATTTATATAAAAGAATTATAAAAATTTTCAATTTTAAATTAAATCGAGTAATTTTCTTTCTCTTATATAAAATAGCACACTTTGATAAAAATTAAGGTCATTGATGTATTATATAGCAACGTCGATTAATTATATATGAAACGTCTTTGATTTAATTATCAATTTCCCGAATTATTCAGCACATATTAAGTAATTAAACAAACTTAATTTTGGTCCATTGACATGAGTGTTTCAGTTCACAGAACAATTAATTGCATTGATCAATGTATATGAAAACTACTTTTTGCACAATGACAAAAATTACATTGCAATTATAAAAATCATAATAATTACAAATAGAGTTGTAATGTCTTTATAACAATTACTTTTTCTTTATTAGACCTTCGACTACGAAAAGTAAGAAAAAATTAGTGAAGCAAATTGAATTCCAAATATTCTCAGTCAATTTCATATATTTTAATGTACTGAAATGCTAATATGGAATGTTTTGAACAGTCAATTTAGCAAAATATAGTGTACGTAAACTTGTTTTGAATGTGCATGTACAATGACGAGTGCATGCTTTTTCTTGGCCTTATATATATATATATATATATATATATATATATATATAAATATATACTAGCAAACCCGACGAACTCCGTTTCGCCACCAGATGGTTTCGTGAGAAAGATGAAGAAATTTTGTTTGTTTTATATTTGAAAAGGAAAAATTTGATTTTATTACACAACAGTATACTGTTGTGTAATATAATCAAAATAAATTCATTATAATGAATTTATTTTGATTACAAAAATGAGGTGTTTTTTAGTTGAACTTCTCTAAGTAAATGATAGTGAATCCGCAAATTATCCGTTTCATTGAAGTGCTCTTTGGTAAACCACATTTTTTATTTTTTGGTCTGACGTTAATACAAACAAAGCGGATGGCTTTTCAACTCGTGAACAGGCATCGTATAACTGCCCATGTGAAAAACAATGATTTTCAATCGTTGCAATCGTTTGAAGTCAAACGGAAGACCAGTCGGAATCATTGGCATGTCACCAAATCGTCAGCAATATTTGATTGAATGGTGAAATTCAATGCGTGTACATCATTATTCTTTGCAGCAAGAATTGCTCGTTGACTTAACCAAGCATATTCTGATAAATACGGTGCGTGAAGTTCCAGCAATTTGCATTAAGGCGCCATGCACCACTAATTTTCTTAGCTATAAACCTTGCGGATCCTCTTAGCTATAAACCTTTCCGACGAATGCAAAATTGACGAAATCGGTTCGTGCGTTCTGGAGTTATTTCGTCAGGAAGGAAAACGCGACTTATTTATATATATATATATATATATATATAGTAATATTGAATAACAAAGTGCTATTTATAATCTTATTTGAGCTCTCTAACAATAAGCATCATAAAATGTTCTAATATATCGTTCGTAGTCAAAGGGTTAAAAAAACAAAATTAGAATTCATCAAAATATCGATAATAACAATTCAATACATAATTATTGAAATAATGCGTAACTGTTTACATTGAATAAAGTATATCTTTTTACAATTTTTTCATAAATATCTAGATTCTAGATTTATGAAAGTGCAAGAATTTATCAGAAGTTGTACTATAAATATAATTTATACTATTATATTTCTAATTCAATGTAAGTAATATTAAAAGTGATTGAATCTTTAGTTGTAGATATAATAAAGCATACATTATATTATATAATTACATACTTATCTAATTAATAATTTACAGGAAGATTAAAAAATCGAAGAGAATATTCTAAGCTTATTGCATGTAGTAAATTTCAATATCCCACAGGGTTGAATGATTACATAATAATAATTTCAAACTCATATTTATTCTAAATTTAAAATGAATATGATTTAATTTTATTTTAGTAAAATTTTTAAGTAATAGTCAACAAGCAGGCGGAAGAAATTAGAACCATAATTTTAACTGCACAATGAATACTTAGTTATTTTGTATGAATTATAAATTTTATCAGGTTTTATAACAGTTTTTGCTTGTATTTCATTAGAAGAACTTAGTATATTTTTGAGTCTAACAAAGTTTGAGCTATTTACCACACAAGTTTTTTAACAATTAAGCAAAAGAATAAAGAATTGCGCACATTGAATCAATTGTAAAAAACTAGATTTTTGCAGAAATCTTTCATTTCTAATAATGAAAACTGATGTATCTCCATTGATCAAATAATCACTAAAAATAGCTACCAGTCAGTTACAAATTCTTTTAGGTATAAGGAAATTAATTTTATTTTGTCAGTTTACTATAAAAAGTATACAACGACAAGAAACTACAGCCCTCTAAGAAGATTAAATTCATTCATAACTGTAAAATGTTCCAACTTTGCTTTAATTAGTTTACAGTTTATTTTTTGTCTTTTACTTCTTGGGTTATAATTTCATTTTATCTACAACTTTCTATGTGCCACGATGGCAAAAATGTATCACACATAAATTTTGAGAAATAATTTGATTTAATTTAATACCAAATTTATCGACAAAACTTTTAAAACGGATTCATATTAACTTTACACTTTATTTATGTGCATGAAACGCTTATATAACGCAACTACGGTTCTGTACAGATCACAGTGTTGCACGGATATATAGTTATAATAAACATATTCATAGAGAATCGTATATCAATCACCAACAGAAATAATAAAGTACATATTAAAATACTTAATTATAAATTTATACTAATCTATATGCATTTGAAGATATGCTACATATTTGTTTTAATATTTACAGATGGACTATGAGAAAACCTCAACTCTTAGAGGTTTTATAACTACTAATTTACTACACTCAAAACGCATACTCATGCATTCATATGTTTATATATTTTGAAATCTACACACATACACACACACACAAATAATATTCTTTTACTTCAAAGGGTTTCAATATGTTTATAAATTACTGCAATAAGGACTCTTGCAGATTTTATAATGGCAATCAAAGTACACATAAACTTATCGAGAATTATTACATCCGACTAGAAACATATGCGTCTAGTATTTATCCCAGAATATGAAAATTATGCAATTTTTAAACTATTCGAAAACAAATTTCTTTGCTATACGAGTATCAAGGTATAATTATAAAGAAAATCTACCGTATAGTTAACACTTACTCTCAATCATCCCAACAAGAGATTGTTATTATTATTTAAGGCAAAAAGTAGACATACATCATGATTTGTATGATGGCAATAGTATATATATATATACAGAATATGAATAAAAGAGGCAATTTATGCAAAACCACCGAAAAAACACAAGTTATTCATTACTAGGATTTAGTACGTTTTTCTATAAGAGTATTTATCAAAAATAATGTTAAATTGATGGTTTGCTATCGTTCTATCTAATATCTATCTGGTCTAAAATATGCTTCTTGTAAAACTCAAAAAAAAATCTATGATCTAGTTTCAAATTGATAAATTCGTAATTCTCATAAAATAATAAATTCGTAATAAATTTAAATTATAATTTAACTATTTCTGAAAATATATAAATGATATAAAATTGTACACATATTTCACTAACCTTCTTTGAATGGTTCATGTATTTTACTGCTTTTTTTTTTAAATAAGGACTAAATCATATCCTAAACTTTGAGTAGCATAGTATTGAAAATTAGATCTAGGTGCCAGATCAACGTCGAGGAACTATGCAATGCAAATTGTGACAACTCTAAAAATAACAATTTGTTCATGAAGTGGCAGATGAGAAGACTATACTAGATATGTAATAAAAATGGGTTAAAATCTATATTGAAAATAAAATAAAATAGAGTAGGGCGGGGCTAGTTGAGCAAATTTTCACTTAAACGGATGTAGCTCCTCAATGAAAAGTTTCAATAAATTGCTATACGACCTAATAGATTTGTTGTTTATCGCTTAACAAAAGTGTTAATACTATTTTTTTGTAATATGTAAAATTTAAAAGCTACAGCTGTTTAAATGCAAAAAGTCAAGTATGCTCAATGTACCCCATAGGTGGGGCAAGTTGAGCACTAAGAAATTATAATGAAATTACAGGTTTAATGTCGATTAGTGATGAAATAAAATAAGTTTTTATTAACCAGATCTATATTAATAGTCTTTATTGACAGAGAAAACAAAACTTATAGTAATTTTCTTTGAATAATTAACCAAAAGTAGAATCAACAAAACAATATCGTATCTTAGGAATTATTTTACCATTATATTCAGTATTTTTGTTTAAAATCATTATTTCTTTATATTATTACTCATAGACTTAGCTTAAATCTTAAAAATAATAATTAATTTCTGGAAGTTGATGGTAATTGTCTTAGTGACAGAACAAGTTTAGCAACTATGCTCAACTAACCCCAACTCGAAATTTCAAAATGAAAGTAAGTTTATAAAAAAACCGTGAGAATTATACCCAGAATCTCTGTGCATATTAAATGTACTATAATTATATGGAAGAATAACATTTACCCGATTAAAAATAAATAACATTTGACTAAACCAGACGAAAATTCGTGATGAATTACTTTTTTACTTTTTGGTCTCAAAATAAACAAAACGGCCGTGAGCCTCACTCATTTGTCCAGCGGCCACTAGCGATCGCGGGATGTTTATTTCTCCCTAACCTCTATCTTTCCGCCATATAATGCCTAAACGGACGGTGAATAGTTTTCGAGATATTTCTATTGCTCAACTTGCCCCTATGCTCAACTAGCCCCGCCCTGGCTAGGCTGAATACAAATACGGATGATTGACCAGTTACGGGTGAAAAGCAAATATCGTGAATTGAAGACTTAATATTTAACTGATGCTTGACAAATTTCTGTGTTGGTAGTTTGCAGATGTATAATTGAATTAGGAATATGCATAAGTAAAAATTGCTTTTATCTTGAAAACCATTGTTGTCATAATTGGCATACATACACAGCTATCCTCAGTATTGAAGAAAAATATAGAATCCAGCGTACGATTGAAGAGCAAATGTTTGACTCCTTGCACGCCATTCAAGCATAGGCATCCAACTTGTGCCCCAATAATTTCTAAAACTAAGGTCAGAGCATGTCTCCGACGAAGCTTTGCAAGGAAAGCAAGGAGCAAAGCATCAATCGGTTTTCACTCACATGCACTCGATAACGACGATGGGTCCCAAACTATCGTAGCGCTACGCGTAGTCTTCGTCCCCATCGTCGTCGTACTGCTAGGCGTACGAGTCCATAGGCGCGTGGTGTGCGTGGTGCGCGTGCTGCCGCCTCGGGCCCGCCCTGTGGGGGCTGCCGTACTCTCGCTGGTGATGGTGGGCGGACGTCACGTACGGGCCGGCGACAACGGGAGCCCGCTGATAATCGCCGGGGGCGCGCGAGTAGTCGCCGGGAGGATAAAGAGCCCCCCGTTCGCTGTACTCTTCGTACTCGCGTTCCCGCTCACGTTCCCGTTCTCTTTCCCGCTCCCGCTCCCGTTCGCGCTCGTGTCGCGAACGGCCGCGACTGTGCTGGGACGAGTGCGTCGAAGGATGGTACGATGCGCCTGCAAATTAATACATTATTATAGTTCGTCCTAATTATATACAAGAATATTTTTAATATTCATATTTTAACACTATTCCGTTGACCGTTTTTGATTTTTCGATTAGTATTTTTCATATTAAACGTAATTGAATCGTAATCAAACTTTATGACTTTTTTAATATGTGAGTATGATACATTTTTCAATGTAAATTTGGTTTTTCAATTCTTATTTTTGGAAAAAAAAAATTATACTGTCTTATCTACCGCGACCGGTCATTTGACCGGTACGATGTGGTTACGAATGATGGACAGCATTTTTTGTAGTAATTGTTAATAATATGATCGAACTTACAAGAGAATATAAATTCAGAAGAATTTAGAGTGGTAAAAGCTGCCTTCTCCAAATTTATATGCATTTTTCCCAATTCTGTATGCACGCAGCGCATATGAGGCAAGTATTATGAATATTGCACTTGTACGGTGTATAAAGTAGGTTTTTTCATTTTTGCTCAATGTCTATGTGTGGACAGAATTTTTCGAAGAAATTCAAACAACAAATTGATAGGTTTTGGTTTGTACCCAAAGGTTGGTTCAACTACATTGACAGCAATCAAAATTGTTGTAAAAGACCACGTATTACTATCGACAAACATATATTTTCAATGAAGGTAAGGTGTAAATTTATTCAACAAACACACACACACATATATATATATATATATATATATATATATATATATAAAAGTATAAAATTTTAGTAACTGTTCAATTTACGACGTAAATATAATTATGCCCAGCAAATCGCACACATGGGATGTAAAATTTTGATAACCATCCAGTATACGTAGACAACTGAGAATTTCTTTGAAGATTTATAATCAATGAAACCGTATTATCAAAATCGATAGTACGATGTAAACAATTTAAACGTTTTTACCATTCTTCTTATAGCTAAACAGTTAGAAAAAAAACTGTGATGGTAGGTACAATTGAAGCAATATAACAGCTACAAACACTGGTAGAAGTAAAAATCAAGGACTTCACTCAAATAATATTTACAATTTTGGAAGCTAAGAAAGAAGATTCTAATTTTCACTTACATACACATATGTTGAAAAAATTACACTAATACTGGAGTCAATTCAATTGGTATTAGCGTCGTGTTTGGTGTAGATGTCATTCATAAAGTAGCCAGAAATCATTCGGTAAACTATGAATTTTAGGAAGAATTTATCAAGGATTTACATTATTTTGTATTTATTCATGATAAATCCATTGTTTTCACATAAAGAAATTACAGGAAGACGATGTATAAGGCAGAGACTTTCTATTTCAATCAACTTGCCGTATAGTTCCAACAAGAATTCAGAAAAAATCAACTAAGTACAAGTACAAAACAGATTCCCTAAAAGAAAATATTCCAGATATTGTTTTAGAAAGATGATAGGGCAAACAAAATCAGCCAGAAACGTAAAAAATGCGTGTGCAGAAAATTCACTCTAAGAAAAAAAAATCGTAAAAAATTGGATAAAATAGAATAAAATGTAGATTTTGCATTCTTAAATAAAAGAAATATTTTGTATTTGTATTTATAAACTCTTGAACTAGCATTAACTCTTCATTCAATACTGAAAAATATAGTTTTTGCATGACCGGTCATTTGACCGGTTACGGTAGGAATAGTAAACATAAAATGTCGGTAGGAATAGTGTTAAATTGAAATCCTATAAGTTGTAACAAGGTTTTCATATGTGATGTTGCATTTAACTATCATATCAAATATTTATAGTAAATTATTTAAAAGCTAAGGTAAGATTCACCTCATATTTTAATATTTTTAATAATACATATACTTATTCAACATTTGTAATTAGAACTTCATCATGTAATTATACACAACTATCTCGAAGTAAAAACATGATTTGTGTCTCAAATTTTCTGTCTACGAAATCGAGCATATTAATTCAAATTTGTATTGGCGATAATGAAAGGTTTTAGAAAAGAGATTTTTGAGAAACAGCTAACATCAAAATTCATAAAAATTGTACAAAACATAAATTCATGAGTGATGAATTCATTCTTTCAATTAAACTCACAATCTCAAGCAAAATAACATCAAGTATATGCATAATTCATTCAAGATGAAACACAAACAATTAAAAAAATATTAAAATATTTAATCCAAAAAGTATTAATTAAAACAGTATTACACTATTAAAATATTATTAACGATTAGTTTTAAATTCTTTACATACCTTCAAATAAAATGCATTATAAATTACAACCAAACTATGTGTTAATATTTTTCTTCGCGCCATTTAGTGTTGTTGCAAAATATTGAGTACGCTTTCAACTAAATAATTTTTCTGTAAATATCTCATGCAAAAAATCCTCTTAATCCAGCAAAGCAGCAACAAACTACAACATCAACTTACATAAAACAGTCATAACTAAAGCTGTGCACTACATAGAAGTCTCCCATATGTAACGATCACTAGCAAATGGAAAAAATCATATTTACTCAATTATTTGCATGAATTAAATAATCAAATAAAAAAATTAATGATTGGATATGTAAGACGTAGTCTAACCATAAGAATTAATATTAATATTTTACAAAATTTATTAATCAAATATCCAGCTAGCGATCGCTACGCGGTGCCTGACCATTACGCCGAACAACGCCGGGGCTAGCAAGCGAGTCATCTTTATCTTTAAAATAAAACAAATAATATATAAAGATGCAATTAGATTATTTGAACAGTGTATATATCTATAAACAGATAAAAAATAATAATAAATAATTACAATACAGTACATGAATACAATTTAATACATGAAACCCTTTCGTTCACTCATATATTTTCTTTGAAACTTAATAAAGTAAATTAATTCAAATTAGTTTTAAAGTTAGATCTGATGCTTAAGAAATTCAGAAGATTGCAATAATGGTTTAAATATTGCTGTAAAAATTGAAGAAAAATATTCTACCATTTATGCTGTTATAAAAAATTCATGAGCAAAAGGTGTTCATTTCATATCTACCATTTGATACAAATATAATTATAAGCGGATGCATTACAAATCAATATTAAACATGTGTTCAGATTAAATTATTAGCGCGCTTTCGTTTAGCTTGTCTATAAAGCCAGAACAGAGCATTTCTGACTCTTGGATGGATTATTATCTCACCTCGTTCTCTGTCACGACTGTGTGAATAATTATAGGAATCGTGCGGATGATGTTCTGGAAAGGAAATTTTTAGTATTGTGAGCTAAATTAGTATAATTAGTAAACAAGAACAAATTAGTATGCAAATTAGTATTTATGATTTAACCAAATTTGACATTATTGTAAATATTTGTAAAAAAGTTGAAAATATCATGTTGCAGCTAATTTATTTTTGTGTATCATTTTTTTTGTTATATAAAATTCTTCACATTTGTCCTTTTTTTGTTACCTGTGGGTGTATGGGGTATTCTGGCCGGTTGTTCAGCGTTCGGAGACGTATCTTGAGCAGGTTGAAGAGGTCGCGGAATCGTAGCCACTTCTTCAGGCGGATGGGTCGCTCGCCAATATGCCTACGATAATAATTTTTATCATGTGAATGAAAACAGCTGAAAAACTCCAATTATTTGCTAATTAGACATACGATTCTTATAAAGTTATGCGTAGTTCACGCAATTCCATGCCAATAAGTATTTTCTCGTTCTTTTGATTTTGTGCACAACTATTAAAGTTGCAGATGACACTTGATTAAATATATATTACAATAACTAAATTATCAATTTATTTAATATTTTTAAATATAAATTCCCACTTTTATTTTGAATTATATGCTGCAAGCGGCTACTGTAAGGATGCTCAAGCCAACCATCTAATTTGTACTCCGGCTTTATTTTGTTTGATAATTATAAATTACATCATCCGATACGGTCAAATAGAACCATTTGAAAAAATGATGTTTCTACTAATACTTTCGACACGGTCGTTTATATGGTCATATAATATTAAATTATATTCTGAAGTAATATTATTCTGAAATTTTTTCTCGAATAATATTCACTAATATTAGGTTGTCAAATATCTCCCTTCCGCTTTTTTGCTCTTGGTTTATAATACAAAAAGGCGGAAGGGAGATATTTGACAACCTAATATTACTTATTAGGAACGGTAGATTTTGTTTAGGTTATATAAGTATTTTCATATTCAAACATCAAAGACTTTGCAGCTTAAGTCGTACATGTGCAAATTTCCTTACTCGTTAAGTTTAATAAAGTCCTTAATTAAACCTTATCAGTTTAATAAAGTCTTTTATGTTCGAAAGTTTAAAAATTAAAAAGCAAAAAGGCTCATCTTCATAAACAGTTCCATTCCTTCCAAATAGATGGAGACTTAATAATTTTATATGTTCAATCGTTAATTTTAAGATTAACAATTTTAATCCAGTATACGCATAAATATAAAGATAATTAAATCTTAAAATGACTTGAGTATTCATTATTATTATTCATGGCTCACTTGTGAATAATATGTATGCTACTGCGCATAAAACATATTTAGAAATAGTAAAATTAATTGTAGGAGGTACTATAACTTAGTCTTATAATTATTCAAACAAGTATTACTATAAATTAACTAAAAATCAAAAGTACCAATTATAATTTCTTTTACCTCTAAATATTCTGCTATGTGCTCGCATGCATCTTCTAATTGATTCTCGTCTAAAATAACATCAAACATTTCAGGTGGACATTGTGCTAATTTTTCGGCCGCAACCATTTGTACCGAAAGATTTTTTGTTTGACCTTTTCCTCGTGATTTGATAAGCCTTTGCAATACCTTGAGAGATTAAAATATGATTACATAGGATGAAAAACATTATTTATTAAAGCTAATACTACTTATAAGATAAATTATATAATTCATATTCTCATATTTATTTCATATATATGTGTTTATTCTCACCTTTGGACTAGAAATTTTCAAATAAACTATCGTCGGCGATAAATTGGTTTTGGCAAGTTGTGAAGGATGATTAATTGTATCACAATCCAGAACGACCAATTGAAGAGTCCGCGCCAATTCAAATATTCGTTCGATTTCCGTCTGAAATTAATATTTATATTAATAATAGTCATATATTGAAAGTACCTAATTATTACAAAATGAATTATTCGTCAAAAACTTCAAAAGACAATAAGAGTGCAATATGCAAAAAGCATGCTAAAACATGAATTGAATTATTGTGCAAAAATAATTAGTCGCTTGATTATTCTTATGATGTATTATATACTCAATAAATATCAATTTATACAGCCAAAATTTTACGAATATTTGATCGATCACATCTAAGTCAACAAATCAGTCAACATTTATTCCAAATAAACAAAAAAAAAATTACTATCTTATATATTATGAAATGAAAATAATTTCTCACCTGAATACCAGATGTCTGAAAATTGAAAAAAAATCTATTTGTGTGAAATTTTAAAGGCAAAGAATATAACAAGTTTTCTTTTTACCATTGACACAAGCATTTGTGAAGCAATATTGGCAAAAAATAATTACAACAATTATATAAAGCACAATCATATATAAAAATAGAATAAATGATTAAATTCATGAGAATGGTTTTGAAAATTTGATATTTGAGAACAATGCAAAACCATGCGATGATTGAAGCTCATTTAGATTATAATGTAATAAGATTCAGAACAAATTTTTAGCAATGATAAAATCACATGCAGTAAGTTTGTATAAAGTTTGTATAACATTTTTAGAAAGAAGGAAACATTTATATTTATCTGTTGATAATAAATTTATTAACAGATACATTTATCTATATTTCCTAGCAAAACGTCGAACTCGTATCTTACATTTGTACATAAACCCAATTTGTATTACGTATTGTCTTCAAATATACATTAAACATTTCCAAAATATCTTTCTTAAAATAACAATTGAAATAAGTAAAACTACATATATAAATTCTTTTCATTTTTTTTAAAACTTTTCAAGAAAAACTGTAATTTGGCTTTGCCATGTTTTGTAAGACGAACAAACACTAATTATAATACTAATTTATGAATCTTGATAATTATAGAAAATCCAACATTAGCCTTGAAGATATTGTATTAATTTCTTACAATGATTGACCAATAATAATAATTTGCTTCAATATAATATTATAATATAATTTATAATAAATAATGTTGGCTTACAGATGGTAAAATTAACTCTAATATAGTGAAGATAGCTAGAAAGCATTAGTGCATGCATGACTAAAAATTAGTTATTATATTTTTTTTTGAAAAATTTGTAATCTAAGTACGTCGGCGACATTCTGCTATAAGCAATCCCTATCAAATTCGTAATTTATAGAAAATTAATATGGGATTTTACCTGAACCTCGGCCAAGCACGTTGATCTCGAATTTGAGCGCTCCATAAGGGCACGTTTTGTTTGATTATTCATAATGGACCGTTTCGCCAGCGATATATCAGCCATTACTCTTGTGATAATTATTCTAAAAGTAATTAAAATTAATTTATTACTATAAACTTATATAATATAATAGAGAGTCAGTTATAAAACGATTTGAATGTCATTGAAATAAATATTCGCTAAGTCAATGTTTCAAATTGAGAGACTAAATATTACTACAGCCTTGTAAATATCATATATTATGAATCTGTAGTTACTGTGATATGCAAAAATAATATTCATTCTGTCTGAATTAGTAATCATAAAAAGTGTCGTGTACTGTGGTGGCAAAATTACTGTAGAATATTAAATGTTGACAATATTTAAATTCAGAAGTCCACCTCTGTTGCACTTACCGGCCTTCAAATCGATGTTTGAGAAAATCGAAAAGCGCCTTTTGCATCATATCCGTAACTTCATAGCCCTTCAGACTTGGCCCGACAAGGACCACGGGTCGCATCGAAGGCACCACGTCGTAAGGGCTGGGGGCTTCTTGTTTCTTGAAAAAGGGTTTTCGCTTGTCCTTGGAAGGCAGAGACGACAGCGCCGCCTTGCCCGTGCGCGGCACACCCATCGTGTCCGATTCATCGCCTAAGAAAAATATTAGAATTAAATTCCAAGAAATAGTCATTGCGAATTTTAGATAAACTTTCTTGCACCAATAAAAATGAATAAAAAAGAAGTTATAAAACTCATCTGCTGATTGAATTAGTTATGAGAGGAAGAGGAAACTCCAACACCTTCAGGAGAAAAGACCAAGGATAAATAATTTATATGTATATATATATATATATATATATATATATATATATGTTATTTGGTTTTGTATATTGGTTAATTTATAATTATTGTATAATATAATTATAGAGCTTTTGGACATTATTTTTTATATAAAAGTTCATACTGAAATTAAGCTATTTAAAAAGCAATGTATCTACTAATATATTTGTTAAAATTTGCTGCACTGATAAATTAAAAGAATTGTAACAGAAATCTAACACGAAGCACAAGCTATGATTTATATTTTGTGTTGCAGCATTTTAAAATTTTGTTCAAATTATAAAGATTAATAATTAATTATGAATTTTTTTCATATAACTGCAGATTGTTTTGATAATTTGCTGATTTATATAGTGGACCAACTTAATAACTTATGTGTTCAAATTTGTGGTGGTATGGTTATAGTATTTTTTTGCCATTTTCATACTTTTATGCTGAACCTAAAAAAATAACTATGAAGACTGCGTAATATCATCTTGAATAAATACCATGTAACTTTTATATTAGGGTATCAGGTTAAGTGTTAAAAATTTATTTCTTTGTGTAAAGGTATATGAATTGGTATAAAAAAAAACACTTCACTGTTATAATACATAATATGTTTGTATGAATCACTTATTTTTACTGTTTAAATTAGGTTAATATATTTTGGAGATTTATTAAAAAATGTGCTTGGGATAAAAGTTTATTTTCACCTATAAATGCTAAAATAAGCTATAAGCTATCCAAGAATATTGCCAATTAATTGGATCAGTCGTTCATCGGTGTATGTAAATGTACAATATACATGTATATATATATATATATATATATATATATATTATTTTTCAATATATTATAAATCGTTCAAATACATCATTAAAAAAAGATAATTTTGTGAAGAATTTTATCGATAATTTGCTAATTTTATAGATTGTCCATATAGAAGACTCTCTCAGAAGCTTTTTTTATTTAGGTTTTTATAATGCTGAATTGAAAAATACTTACAACTCTAAATTTTCACCCACCTTCTGATAACCCTTAATGTGTAATAATCATTTTAGTATAATTTAATCATTTTATTATCTCACTTTCAGTAAGTGAAACCTGGATAAGTATTTTTTTACTGAATATCGATTAAGATTTCCTTAAGATGATGGAAAAGCTTGATTCTTCCAATAAACAATTTATTTTGATCAAGAGTTGTCTGCCCTTGTGAATTTTATAATTTATAACACAATTATAACACATGTAGCCCTAAACTTTTACTCTCCTACCATAAACCCCAATAAAGTAATAATCATTTCCGATTAATCTAGCCAAATTTTCACTACTACCATCTTCTCTCTTACCTGGTGTCGGAGGCGTGCTTCCCCTGCTGACATCGTTGGGGGCGCCGAGGTTTCCGGATGACGAAGAAGCTTTCGTGGCATACAGTTTGCTGCTCCGCTGCGCCGACGCCTGCATGCGCAGGTTCTCGATCTTGACCGGTGACGGAATGAAGCCCACATCACAGCCTTCTTTGACAATTCGTCCTATCCACCAGTTGTTGTCGTATTTCTCCTGAAATTGAAATAATAAAATAAAAATATGTGTATTAATTACCTTAGATTTCTCATAATTATTGAGGAAATTTTTTATTGTGAAAATTGTTAAATTGTAAATTTATGCACATATTAATTTACTTTAAAAGTTTGTTATATTATAACTTTATGATAAGAAGATATGGTTCAATGATTACGTTAGGATTTTTAGAAAAAATAAAAATCATATCTGTGTGATAGAAGGTTCTTCATCAGTTTTAATGATGCTTCATCTAATGTTAAAAATATTTCTTCCGGAGTTCCCCAAGGTAGTGTTCTTGGTCCGCTGCTTTAAATTATATATACTGCTGATATACCTACAAATGCAGAAACCATGATTGCTACCTTCGCAGATGATACGGGAATACTAGCTCAACGTGACAACCAATTGCTTGCCCCGGAAATTCTACAAAAACATGTAGATGAAGTAAAAAAGTGGATGGAACTATGGAGAATAAAAGTGAATAACTCTAAATCAGTTCACGTTACTTTTACCTTACGACAAGATTCATGCCCCCCTGAATGGTGATTTGGTTCCTGTATCCAATGTTGTTAAATATCTGGGATTACATTTAGATAGAAGATTAACCTGGCATGAACATATTCTAAAGAAGCGTCAGCAGCTTGAATTAACACGTAGGCAACTTAATTGGTTAATGGTCTGGAAATCGCAAGTCACAATAGAAAATAAACTCCTAATATACAAGACAATTATTAAACCAATATGGTCCTACGGCCTACAACTATGGGGTACGGCCAGTTTATCGAACATAACTATTCTACAAAGGTTCCAAAATAAGATTTTGAAAGAAATCGTGAACGCTCCAAAATACGTTCTCAATTGGTTGATACATCAAGATCTCAGAATTCGAACTATAGAAGAAGAAATTAGTCTTTACTGCACCAGATACAAAGCTCGTCTAAGTCGTCATCCAAAAGTATTAGCGTCAGATCTGCTTAAGCCTTTACCACCAAAGCGTCTCAAAAAAAGAATCTGCAATGATTTACTTCAAAATATAACATAACATCTATGAAGGCGCTATCGCAGGATAGCGATCCTTCTCACGCAGACAAATAATATATATCTGTAACAAATGTATCTGAATGTACTTTGTATAGATTGCTATAAAAAATAAATCAATATATATATATATATATATATATATATATATAAAGGAGTAATATAAAATATCATAGGTAAATTAATTTAATTACCTTGATGTGCAAATAATCCCTTGCTTCGAAAGAGATGGCACAACCGTGAACGGGAGAGTCATCATCCAATGAACCGTCATAGGAAACGTTCGTCTTGACAGAGAACGCTACCGGTTTATTCTGAAATAGATGAAAATAAATTTAAAAATTTTAATGAAGCAAATAATGTCTTCATTCATTTATCGATGGCCATTTCGAGCAGTCTAATATCAAGCAGTTGTGACATCGGAATATAGATAGAAATATGTATTTATCTATAATTGCCCTCGCATGGCATTTCTGCATCATGCATAAACTCATAACTATTACAGAAAACTAAAGCAACCAATCGCAAAAAGATGCGATAACTGTTTGGATTGCCGTCTATAAAAAATCGATGTAGTTTGTAAGGAATTCATCACAACAGTCTGATAATTTATTGTGTAATTTATTTGAATCTTCCAAATTTATCGCAAAATTAGATGTATAATTATTATACATGTTACATTTAAATCCTTTGTAGAATGTCTCTATAAACCGAAGTTCAAAAAACTTACACGGAGAGTTTCTAAATGAAATTTTAGAGAAAAATGAAGACGAGAAAGTAAGTGCTGTAAAAATTAGAAGAAAGAAGTACTTTATTGCTTATCGAAAATGAAGAATAAAAGTGGATTGGACGCATATGAGGCAAATAGTAATTTTTTATAATTTTGTTAGTTAATACAATGCATTAAAATACTTATTAAATCTAATAAAATCATATAAATAAAACATAATAATAAATAATATGTCAGTGAAAATACATTGGAGCGACAAGTATTTTCTGAAATATTATTACAAGGCTATAGCACTATTATATGGAACACTACTCCTATAATGAGCGAATTTACTGCATACGATGATTATGGAAAATAGAGCATACAGCACTGCATCAAACTTCGAAATAATACCTGCATCGAGAATGAGGCAGTTATTACAAGATTGAAAATAATAAATCAGCGCCATATAATTTTTGCTCTAGCAATAACAAAATTGAGAGATAATATTGCGATGATTTAAAATATCAAAAGCACTGTCTCACTGAACTGAACTCACAAAACTTTTTATCTCATTGCCTCTTAAAGTAACCAGTCCCCCTTATTAGGACTACCGATGTACCGATTAGTGAAATTCGATTTCACGGTTAAAATCCTTAATTTCTAGGCCGAATGAGTAAATCGTGGCTAGTAAAATTGCTCACCCTCGCGCGATTGAGCTGGCTGAGCGCCTGGCCCTCTTTCTCACGCCGCAGCGTCTCCTTCTCCTCGTCGAGCGACAGGTCTGACGAAGGGTGCGAGTAATTGGAGTCCGCCGAACCCTAAACATGCCAAAATTCAATTAATAATACAAATCAAACCAAATAAAATATCACATAAATATATTCTCCAATTTAAATATTAACTTTAATCAGTGAGTTTTTATTTTCAGAGATTTTATATTAAGTTTTGTCTTTCTCAACTGAAAAACCTTCATATATTTTTTAAATTTTTTTAATATTAATTATTATTATATAATATATAATATTTCTAGAGGTAGGCATATCACCTTCTTCAAAAATGTCTTCGGATTAACTACAAATAAATATTAAAAACTATATCAAAATGACCACCATTCTTCAGAATAATGGTACCGATGTTAATGTGTACAGAAATATTAAAAATTCTTGAGAAAAAGGAGAAGCTTTTGGCTTTGGAAAAGGTTATCTACTAATATATATATATATATATATATATATATATATATATATATTAAATATATAATAAAAATATATTTTATATGAACTTAATATTTCCTTTTGGCTATTTTTCGGCTTTCAAAATATAATTTTTATTTTTAACTGTTTTAATTATTTTTTTAGCAAATAAATCTTCAAACAATGTGTTTAATACATTGTATATAACATTATGTATCATAAGTTTTTAAAAATATACACCATCTATTCAGAAAATATACTTCAATTAATGTACTTTACGAAAATTTATTCCAAAAAATAAAACGTGAAAGTCGTAGCTGAAGTTTCCATACAGTAAATATGATGTTTCTAAAAGTAATGTAATAATATATTTATATATTTACACAACTTTACACAAGAGACGTATATTTGGACATAGTCGAATTTGTCTAAAATAAAAATGTAAAGCACATGGTTGTAACATAGATCATAAATAAGAGTTCATTTAAAAAAAAATACCTACAACAAAATCTTAAGGTAAACATAATTTATATAATTCGTAACATTTTGCATACACAAATACACACACGTATATATATATATATATATATATATATATATTATATTTTTTATAAATATGATTAAATAAATGTAGAAAAAATTGCACACACATGTTATGACATTTCTATAATATATAATCATAATCTATAAATGTCTATATTTTGAAGCTCAATAATAGCAATTATTATAATGATAAATATTCTATTTAACATATACTACAAAATCTATAAATTTTATTTTGTTCCGATGTTTCTATCTAAATAAAGCATGTTAGACTTAAAAATCTATTATCAAAGTGTTTAAATCTATATTTTACCACTATTTTACAGCATGTTTCTAATGCTTTTATCCTAAATCCTCCAGCGAAAGGCATGATGTTGTGACCCAACTACATAAAAAACAACTAAGCATGCAATGAAAATGCTGCTAATTTTTATTTTATAGAAAAAGAGTTCAAACAAAAGTTATGACAAAATTATTAGTAATAATTATTATTGGATGTTCAGGTTGTTTAAATAAGTGTAATTCGAAAACACTAAAATTCAATCTGTTTCGCATGTAACATTTAAATTACAACATGCAACTTTGATAACTCAAAACACAAAATATTTAATTCTACCCAACAACTATTTTTGTATTTGTCACATACTTGCTACATATTTGATTCCAAAATTTACACTGAAGCTATTAAAACTATCGATGAGTTTAAATGAAACTAAAAATATCCTTTTTATCAATATTTGTGACCTTTATTGCGAGACAAACTGCAATAACCGAACGATTATTATTCCATATGAACTTTTTGCATACAACAACAAGGTATTTTCTACAGCAGGTCAAGAAATATGCATAATCAAACTGTACTCTATAATTTTCTACATATTATGATTTATTATCCTAACCCAATTTGGTGAATAAATTACTCGAATTTATTAGATTTAGTTTTGAAATCCCACCGCTCATTAACATCGATTTTCGACGTTCGTGAATAATCAGAAAAATAAATTAGCACAAATTTTGTTAATTAAAGCACGATTGAAGTAGAATTAGTTTTTTTCAATATAATGTTTATTAGAATATTGTTAAAAGTTTTTTAAACACTGAAATATTTTTAAAACTTATTGAGAATAAGCTATAATTTGTGTCATTTTCACGGTGAGACAACACCGTCTGAATTTCTAATTTATCTAGAAGCAAAAATATTTTATGTCGCACTTGTATAATTTCTCACAAACGCCTCAACTTTACTAGTTGCCTTGCACAATATCATGCTTCTGTATTTTATGTATTTCCCGGAAAGCTAAATTTCCGGGATTATAAAAAGTAGCCATGCAATAATTTGTATTTTATATTTAATTTAAAATATAGTTGTTTAAAATTGTTTCCATGCAAATCTGCAGTGTTTCCTTTGTATTTTTGAAATAGGTGCTCATTCATGCACTATGTGTGCAGGGCTAAGTGTCTTACCAGAGACGTATATTTGGACATACGCCCAGAGCGTTGGTTGCGTGGCCCAGGCATGCAAACCGTTCCTGATCCGCCACTGCATTCGGTTCACTTCAAGGCTGATAGATAGTTTAGGTATTAGGTTGATGATGATATTATCTTAGTTAATCAGAAAAAATACTTCTTCATGCTTAAAATTTATGTCATATTTTTGTGATGTTTGCGACAGCCCTAAGTATAGTATTCGATAAACTATTTTACTAGTAAATTATATAGGTATATAGGTAATTATATTATATAGTAATTATATTAATTGATATCATATAGTAATCAGTTACATTTTTTTATGAATACATTTTAAAATCATTCTTAATGATTCATACAGTCTTCATTCATACAACTTCATTAGCCTATCCTTAGTCCAGCCAAGATTTTCACATTTCATTTTATTCAAGATGTTCTTTTGCCGAATGCATAAAAAAATAACCAAAATAAAACTTGACTTTACTAAAAAAAACTTTCTATGAGTAAGTTTAGGATTATCTTAACCGCTAGGATTTTTGTTTTCTCGAACAAAAACATAAAGCTCAATAATCTTTTAATCTACAATTCTTAGAAATGTCATTAAACAAGCTTGTTTTGCAATTTTACTAATCTGTGTTTTTTATTTAATTGTTCTCTGTATATTATGAAAATACTTTTATTTTACATATTATGAAATCTAAGGAAATTATCATCTTACGAGAAACAAGTAATTAGCAAAGAAAAGTCTGTTCCAAGAATATACCATTCATTACTTTTTTCCTTCGAATAAAAGAACTGTATTATTTGCATAATAAAAATTTGTTTTTGACATTCATATATAAGCCAACTATTTATATACAATTCTAGCATGTGCTATATAACAAATATGTATTGATATTCTAGTATAAAGTCATGAAAAAGATTTTAAACTTCCTGAAAGTTCCATACGGTGGAGCGATCTTGTATATTTTGACACACCATATTTATGAATATTTGTTGTATGAAAATTATTATTTTTCGGTTAATTTTTAAATAAAATTTTATGCATATCTATTTAATATAGTTTTTAAAATAATATGAACTTTTGCTGCTCTTTTAGTACTTTTTTTCCACGATGTGTCGGAGTCAGAAAATTAATATTATATTTTATTAAAAATATTGTATAAATAATATAGTTATTAATAATATAGTTATTTCAAGGCAATTCATAAGATATTTATAAAAATATAAATTCTAAACTAAATTGAGTTAATCTGCAAAATGTGCAGGATAATATTATAAAGTTTGTATACACGTCGCATAAAAAAATGTTTTTACTCATCTATACACATATTTTTACCGAAACTGTATTTTGCATACAAACTATATGGCAGAATTCTTCGTATAGTGAATCTGTGTCAATTTGAATAAAATATTCTTCTGGCATAGTATAAAAGATTTCTTCTAACGATTTTGTCACGGAGCCACGTAGTCTCTACACCTTATTTATATTCCTATAACGCCAAATTATTATCGGAAAAGAGGTAGTATTATGGATCGTAAAATGTAGAAATCAAAATGTTTTTGATAGAAAAACACTTTCAGAAATGTTCCCAATTAAACTATTTGTATATAATTTTTGAAGTTTATGTTTTGGCCAAAAAATCTCATTTATAATTTTCATCTAGTTTATAAAGTATTTAGCAAATCGTTTAAATATGACGTTAATTTGAAGAAATTTATAGCTATAAATATCAACTTTAAGTATTACTACCGAAAAAACTCACATTGAATAGTTATAAGTTAATTTTTCAAATGAACTAGCATTCCTAAATAATCTATACAACATTGTCTTTTGTATTAAGAGCATTTGGTCTAAGAACTTTGGATAGATGCCAAAAATTTCTACAATGAAAATCGATCTCCCACATTCTTCAAGTAACTTAATGCTTCGTAACGTAAAATATATGAAAAGTCATATTGTTTGTTCGTAAACTTATATATTAGTTTTTGTGCTGTTCGATATTCGAGATATCAAAGATAGTTGCAATCATATATCATAAAAATGTATTGAATATTGCGAGCAAGAGATAAAATAAAATTTAAAAGATTGAATATAATAAAAAATCGTATCATATATTTTTGAAATTGTATTGAAAACAATAAATATGTTTTCAGTCAGCCCTTAATGTAATAATTATTCTAAATAAATACTTTAAGTTTATATAAATTTGATGTAGTAAATATTATATTAATCGATGGGTAAAAATTGAGTAGAAAATGTTATATACTATAGCAAACTCTTATTACTTATTGGTTAAGTATATTATTTTAACATTTCGGGAAGTTTATACTACTTGTCTTAGCGTAAATACCATCTACAATGACACATTATATACCAGATTTATAGCCTCTATTCTAAACAACTTGACATTTTAGGATATATTTTGTATTTTTTTCAAAAATTTAAATTTAAATAGCAACTGGTCCTTTTTATACGCATGTCGTATACCTGTCAATACACAAAATTTTACCAGGTCTCCATAACGAGTATCTAAATTCCTCAATTTAATAAAACTGGTTGTTAAAACACAGCTGATTGGTTAATATAATATAAAATGAAACAAATTAGAGATATTATAGTCAAAACAAAATATATTTATTGAATTATATTTAGTAAAATAATCAAAAATTGCGACAGGTTCATAAAAATGTTACTTTTAACTACCTACTCTCCCACTGACATAGACAAACGTTTATCACTTAATATTATTGATAAATGTAATATTTTGATAAGTAGGTAAATACGACTAACGTGTGGTTTTATATGGTTTGCATATGGACCCCAATTTTCCCTATATTTGTTACCAAAATTGATTCCGTTCGTCCTCATAACGTATGTATAATAATGACTAGGAGACAATGTCGTCGGAGAGAGAGAGAGTGAGCGCCGGTCCGGGCGCATCGCCAATGAACCGAGGACATGGATGTTCAATGGGCCATGAGGAAGACTATAAGACCTTCGCAGGGACCCCCCGGGACGTGTTCTAATTTGAGATCATATCGCTCTATGTTGAACTAAACAATCGTGGAAATAGTAGAAAAAAGTGAAGTCGAGATAATTTTATCGAATGGAAATGAAGCGTTTGGCACAATTTCATACATAGACGTATACATTTTATTAATATTATCAAAGCTCTGCCGGAAGCCATGTTCCAAATTCTGGCCGAAGCAAGGCAAATAGGTTGACAGGTAAATTGATAGACAGGTGAATTGGTAGATAATTAAATTGGTGAAAAGGCAATTTGTTGGATAGCTGGTAGTCAAGTAAATTTGAGGATATGTAAAATGGTAAACAGGACAACTGGTAGATAGTCAAATAACAAGACGGATAAACTGGTTGCAGGTAAATTGGTAGAAATATGAAACGGGTTGATAGGTAATTAGGTTGACAGGTAAATTGATAAGCCGGTAAAATGGTAGATTGATTAACAAGTTGATAAGTAAATTTGTAGACAAATTGTTGAACAGATAGTAGTAACGTTAAAGGGTACAGCGAGTATATATATATATATATATATATATATATACATATATGTATATATATACATATATACATATAATATATACATATAAATACATGCAATAGTGCTGAAAACGGTGGGAGAAAAAAGGCCAGTACTGCTATATACGTATATATAGAAGATATGTAAGACGTATGTTATAATTATTATTCGTGCTCTGCCCAAAGGCAGGGCCATTACGTAAGAACAAGGCATTTCATTACTCCCGTGTTTATAATTCACTTGTTATATCTTTAACATCTGCTTCAATGCTTAAATGCTTCGGTTTTCTAATCCCTGGATTTTATCTTTATTTGTTTTATTCCTATTTTTTTCTTCAATGATATCATGCAGAAAAAACTCTTTTCCCAATATGAGACCAACTCACTTTTACTCGAAAAGTTTAAACTTCTCCATACTTTTCCAGCACATCTCCACATTTTCGATTCGGATTTTTCAGTTTTCTTTACAGTCCAAATCTCAATATATTTTATTTCAAACATAAAGGTATGCGTGTGTGTTACTATCATGTGTGTTAAAATTAATTCGGTTTTAAGCTCGTCCAGAAGAGGCATTCAGCCATAAGGCAAGAATGCTCAAGAACGTAAATATCGTTCATTCATCGTACGGCTTTTGAAATGCTCTTCTCAGTTCACTATTATGTTTTTGTACGTCTCTATATATTGTAAGTATTGATAGATTTTCAAGGAAAAATTATCAGAATATGACGAATGGTTTTAAACATTTCTTACTACCATAGCGATGATTTTATATATGTATGTATATATAATTCTTTTCGATAAAATTTAGTATGATGCATTTAGAAATTGCGTGCTATAAATTATGGAGTCCGAATTTTTCAACCTTTATGTTTCTAGTGTTATTTTTAGAATCGTGCAGGCCATTCCTCTGGAAATAATCACATATGCTGCGTGGAAATTATTTACTGTATTGATTTCAAAATTCCTATATATTTCCACCAATTTATTAATCAATTTAGAATTTAAATTAAAATTTTTATGGATGGTAAACAAGTGGAATTTTTTTTATACTGATAAGAAAGGAAAGCGTTGAGTTATTTCTCAAGATATGAAAAAGATCAAAAACAAATATAGAAAAATTATGTATATATATATATATATATATATATATATATTATATTTAGAAATTATATATATATATATATATATATATATATAGCTTGATCTTGCTCATAAGTTGATAAATTTGAAAAGTAAACTTTTAGGGTAGATCACCAATTAGTTTAATAATTAAATAAACGCAAAAATAAATGTTTCCAATGTATGCTCTTTTTTATTGTCTAATATAGTATAATTTATAATCTTGGGCTTAAATAGAACTATAAATCAGGCGTCCCGGGCATATTAGTCGGGTACGAGAACAGAATGGGTTCATAATATCCTGACACTGAATTATGAAACTCTATTATAGAACCTAATTAATTGACCCATCTATCGTCTCTTTGTCTATACGATCTTACGAGATATTTCAGAGCGATTAATTCTGATCGAAGGACAACGATGGAGACAATATGTATAATTATTAGGGCTTTGGTTACAGATTTGCTTAAATAAAAAATAGTTTATAAAATTAATTATTCATTAAGATGATTGGACTGTTGGAACCAAATTAAAATTATAATAAAAATGTTGAGAGTTTGAAGAATAGGGCGTCTAAATCATGTTTTTTGGTAATATTAGTACAAAAATTATTTGTTTGACACGTTAATCGCCACGACAATATAAGAAAACTGTATAAGATAAAGTTTTCATGGTAACTTCATTAGATAGTTTAGGTAAAAAAGTATCCAGGAACACAGAGGAAGAATTAGGGTTCGCATTTTTGTGTGTATGCACTGAAGATGACTTAAATCAAGATTCAAATTGGTTGCTATTACAATAAAAACATTTTTCTTCATTAAATCTGTTTAATTATTGGATGGATGCCCAAGAACTCTTCATCATATATATATATATATATATATATATATATATATATATATATATATATATAATTTGAACTGAAATGGGAGCAAGTCGTTTCCGTCTGACAACAAACTTAAGAAGTACAAGCGTTGTCAAGCTCAAGAAGTTCGAAATGCAATTATTTGATAATGTTGATTCACAATTACATCAAATTCAATAACATTCTAGAATAAAGCTCTGGAAAATGCAATAAACTTGTAGATAGTAATAGATAAAGAGAAAACAAAAATTTATATTGTATTGTATGAAATAAAGATATCAGAAACTTTGTAAACAATTTGAATTTTATTTTAATCCTCGTTATTTTCATTCATAAATTGAATCATGTAGTCATTAATATAGATTTCATAACCGATGAAAATTCTAGCTTATATGCAAGGTTCAATCAATTAATTATATTTTAATATAATCCTACCACATATACTAGAGTGTAGACTAAATCACAAATTGAAGATTTATGTTTAAAATCAGATAACATCTCTATAATTTCAAGAGGAAAATCATTGTAAAGGTCAATTTATCAGAAACAAATGAATGTACGATAAAAATAATTATTTTATAATGTTATATTTTCCTATGATTCTTTTAAAAATATAAAAATATAATGCGCATTTATGTAAGCATAAAAAATCAATTAGATGCATAAGAATACCAATAAATGATAAAATAAAAAAACATCGATTCACGTATAAATCTGTGTAAATAGTTAGTTTGTTGTGCACCACTACTATAATTTAATAAATAATTTTATAAAACGTTGGGCATCCCTGAAATTAAAGCTCTCATAAGTTGTGCGGTCAGAAAGATTACACGTGATGAGAAATAGGCCATTTGTTAATTCAACACTTTGATACTTGAACAGACTTTTCTAAAAGATTTCTCCATTACGTTTAAATAATTTTTTTTAGAAAGATTAAACTTAATAAAACATAATACACGATATTGTACTTCGACCACGAAGTTGAAAACATCTCCCAAACTGTAGTATTGTAACCATATTCAAGAAATTAACTAGTTTTTTTACGAACGCTGATTTGTACCTTAATAGTAATATTATAGCTTGAAAAAACTAACAAAGTAAGGAGTTAGACTAAATTTTGGATTTAATCTTTTTCTATTTTACTATGAAAATAATTGACGGTATACTACTAGACACAAATACGCCAAATATTTACAGGATGGGTATAATTTCTTGCACACTGTAATCAAGTATTTTTGCACATGTATGTGAAATGTTAATATATATATATATATATATATATATATATATATATATAGACAATGTTTTTGAAAAAGTACGTAAACAAACGCTGTACAAAAATAATGATAGCACTTATGAAAACAGGGATGAATGATGAAATTAGTATAATTAATTAAGGTATTATTTAAGAACTATGAACCTGAGTAAATAGTTTATTATATCCTTGTTGATTCGTTCCATAACCCATCATAGTAATATTACGGCATTGCCCGGGCGAATCCGAAAGAACCATCGAGCGCGACGGATCCGGCGCTGCCTTGCTCCCGCCCTGTCTCGCCCGGCAGCCGGCCCTGCCTTCCACTTCTTTTAACTGTTGGCCGGAAATCTTGCACGTCGAAAAATAATTTACACCGAACCACCGTTAATTTTGATTCAAAGTCATAATTTGGTGAATGAATCAATTTCAAAACATTGTTGGAAACCGATACATTGAGATAAGAATAACAGGTTGAAAACAAAGAGATTCTATTATTTATTTGGAGTCACTATCACACTTCATACACAAACATACAGTTTACTCATGGTGAAATGTTTATATTGTTCTTAACTGTTATTTTAACACAAATCGGGTTATTTTTTTAAAATAATTGAAGGGCACTTCAAGTTTCATTAAATTACTTTTATTTCAGCTATACAAAATGTAAACAATAACAAATACCGGCATTCTAATAATTTTTATCTACATTTGTGGACAAAATATATCTAGTGACCACGAGCATTCCAGTCTTCAGCGAACTACCGACATATTTCGGTTAATAAATTTAGGATCAAAATATAGTTCTTGATTTATGTAGTTCATTTAAACTAAGTATAGTTTATTTCTAGTCACATAACTTAAATACAAAAACACAAACAGCTGTCACTTGGTAACGAAAACTCTGCCTTCTGTGTACTGAACGTCAAACATTCACGCAGTGGCACTGAACACGCTCATGTTGAAAATCAATAATATTATAACCACGATTAAGTTTCAAAGCGTTTCTTTCATAATATTTAGATAAAAGATAGAAATAAGCGCATAGATAGTATAAAATTATTTAGATTATTTTAAATATCGAGTATAAAATGTATCTTTTTGTCAATTTGACATGTTCCAAAATGTACGTCGCATTGCAACTACTAATAAACTCACTACGCTTGTATCATCATTGCGCAAGCGTACGGAAACCACACTAGTACAACATGCCTAATGCAAAAAATTAATTATTATTGTTGTAATTTTATAAACAATAGTTCAAATTTTGCATTTATTAACGATTTTTCTGAATAAGACCAAAACCACCACCACCACCAATTATTATTTACTAACTTCACTGTCCTGCATTGACTGATTAAACTCCGTCATATTTTCAGGACAAACATCCTTTATGTATAGAAAGAAAGTTCGGGTAAACACAAGGTTCACTTATAATTATCCACTATTTTTCGGAGGCAAAATCAAGGTAGTATTTGTACCTTTATTGGCATGGATCGAGTGCACAGTATGCCGGATTTCTCAATGAAATTTTTTCTGTCTGAATGTTTGTGTGTAAGAATCGACTAGCGGCAAAAACAGAAAACTCTTCAATTTTGTCAGTGTCGAACTTGAAATGAATAAATCCATTCAATAAAATACTAGAAATTAATCAATTAAAATTATTCAGAAAAAGAAATTAACACCTAGTTTGTTATCTAATTAATTTTTTTTGATAAACCTTAAATTTGGAGGATTATACGTAAACCATGCCAAATAGAAGAATGAATATTTCAAAATTTCAAGCGTGACCCCATAAGTTTCCCGTTGTATTATTACTTTCATTATAAGTACAGCATAAAAAGCCATCACTTAAAAAAGTACAGTGAATACTAAAAAAATAAGCAGTACATACACAAAAAGCCCTAAAGTAATCTTTAAAATTAAAAAACCTTAGTGAAAAATTAAACCTTTATACCCTTACATCTTTATTTTCGAAAATAACTTAAATTTGAGTTTTTAAATCTTAATTTTTATTGATTAAGACAGTTGTTTACAGTATTGGGAAGTTTGTACGTCGTTCCGGCAAATCATTTTTGGGCCGGAATGCGTTCCGGCAAGAACATTTAAAAAAAGAAAAACAGAAAATGATTTGATAAGTGAATTTTAGAACTTTTATTTTAACTATTTTTTATTAAACGTTTCTATTATTGTTATAAACATACATATATATGAACAAAATGGGTTTTGTAATAATTTTGGTTTATGTCCTTTTCGAAAGGAAACGGAACAAACATAAAAACCGGTTTTTTAATTTTAGCGTTCCAGCAAAAAAAATTAGCACAACACCACTGTTCAGTATTTATAAGAATATACATCCTTTTATTTCATTTTATGCTCTAAATACACAATCAATCCTCGTAATATAAATTCAAATTACAAAATTTAGCAGAACTCTTATTTATTTTACTAAGTCAGTGAAAGTTTATATGTTTATGTTAAATTTATTATTTGGAAATATGTATTTTTTTGGTGATAAACGTTTTTTCTCGTTTCTCCAGTGTAATGTAAAAATTAGTCTTGATTACATACATACATAATTCATATTTTTGTGATAAATTGGAGAAATATCTGTGATAATTATTCGTTTTATTTCAAACTTACACACTGCGCAAATAAATTGCAACTGTAAAAAGTATATTTATAGTAAAAACAAATGCACCTATCATTCCTAGAATCAGACAGAAAAAATGATGTGATGTTTTATCATGATGCTGCAACGTCAGCGTCTCTAATGGACATTTTGATATGACAGAAAATTGGACATTAAAATTGCAAGAGCCAGTTCTATAAATAATTCTTTCATTCACTACATTCGCCACTAATAAATTATTATTTTTTAATGACCCCGACATTACTCTGCTTTCATTTCTCAGAAATAATAATGAATCTTTGATTTAGATTCCATAATACTCGTAATAATTTGAAACGAAATGTTGTAGTTCTATTCATGACATTTATTTCGCATGAATTTTTGTTCGGGTTTAATAAAATATTACAATAAATTACGTTATTATTATTCATTCTATTATTAATTATTACCACGTATTCATACATTAGAAAAAGTCTGAAATATTATTATTTTATTTATTTTTATTGTTTATGGCTTGATTATGAATAAATAAATAAATAAATCAGTTGCTCAAATTCTATAATAAATTATACTAAGAAATGTGATCCTATTGTTCCCAAAATCATTCTTGCCAAAAGTCTAATGCTGCCAAATTATTTGCTGCTAGAAGGTTAATTCATGCAAGAATGTCAAAGTAAAGCACATTTATTTTAACGCGAACAAATTATTAAATAAACATAAAATTAGATATGAAATTTGTTAAATAAATACTCATAGATAAATAAATATTTATTTATTTTATATACGTATTCGTAAAAACATGCATGTTCTTATGCATATTTATATGAACACAACCACTTGTATATTTATTTATCTATACTATATATAGATAATTTTTGTTTTCCAAGTAGTGAAAAATATATAAACAACTTGTTTAGGAATCTATCCTGTTATTGAATAAAAACAATGTATGTATTTATGTGTATGCATATAAATTGTAGACATGTATATATTTTCTTAAGAAAATTTTGGCATAGAATAACTGAAAAACTTATGTTTGTGTTATAAAGAATCTGCATTTGCCAAATTCCAGGTGAATTTATTTTATTTATTATAGATGAATTATATATTTTATTAGAGTTTGAGATTATCATTCGTTTCTTACCAAGATCTTGAATTGCGAATAGTATTGGATTCTCATTAGAATGTGATTGGAAAAGCACCCTACTATTTTGTTTCTTATTTTAAAATTTATTAACCAGGTTATGATCAGTTAGAAAGTGTTAAGGTACATTAATATTCAATTTTTAAGGCTTTTTGTCAACTTTAATAACGGGAGAAAGGAAATATAAGAACTAGGAAGAATCTAATCTTTAGAACCATGAAGCATTTCAGAATATAATATTATATTACTATCATTATTGTTTCTATTAAGCTATTTACCCTTCTATTTCTGCTGAATGGTTTATATTGGCGCTGGTGAGCTTTCTTCATTTTGCCTCAATCAGCTTAATCACACCAATTCACAAAACACAAATTTAAAAAATTCAACAAAAATAAAAAAGAACTCCCAACTTTCCACATCACTATTCGTCATCTGTAATATATCATCTTGATTATTTAAATCCTACTATACTATCAGATCACAAACTTTAACACAATTTGCACTTCCTCTAAGTCGAATCCGATTTCGTCCTGAACATTTTCAGTCATGGTTAGTTGAACCGTATCATTTTCACTTTAATTTTATATACACTTGTCACTTATTTTCTTATAATCGGTCATGTTTATTAATCTAAGAAAACGACAAGTAACTAATTTCTTCAAACTCAGCCCAGACTGAGCGCTAAAAATACCGCGCTTTGAAATTATCATTGTACGCACGTCAGGGAATAAAAAGTATAAAGATTCATAGAAATGCTTGTAAAGCTCTTTTTCCAAAGCTATGAAAATGGACCTTAACAAAACTTTTCAAAAAATCTTAAATTTCTGCGTAATTGTTAACAAACCCTTTTGCTCATATTATTTTTAATCAATCTTGCTATACAAAACATTAATTTTATTTCAATATTTTTAATTAATATTTGACGATCAAAATATGAAATACCTGGTTATATTTGAGTCTCAAATAATCGCATATATCTTGCATTTCAATACTAATGAAATCATTCAATATAAATTCATAGTGCCAAATAATATATTCCAATTAGAAACCTGACCGAAAGATAAAGTTGAATAATTTTGCTAATAAAACAAAATAAATTATGAAATTTTTAAAGTAGAATACACTATGATATGATTGTGATTTAAAATTAGAATTTATATTTTTGGACTTTTAAATAGTAAAATTATTTATTTTACCAATTTCAAACAAATTTTGTAGTTCGAAACTAAATACTGTAAAGGTACTAACTATTAGATCGAAGTTGATAAAAGGTTTTTTAAGTTAAAGTTCCAATTTCCTTAACATATAAAATTTAGTGCAGTTTTTGTTGATTATGAAGTATGTTTTAGCGAAAAAATTAGGGTATCTCATGTACTTTTTTGGTAATATTTAAAGGAGTGTATTAAGCAGATACCATACATTCAAATTCTAGCCTTTTAGAATAAATAGTCTACCAAAATTAAATTTTTTAAAAAATCACTTGTTCTTGATAAAAAA